GAGGCTATCAAAAATACCATGTCTTGGGTCAAGTACACCTTGAGTCTTCAAAATCACATCTTTGTCTTTAATACTTTAAATAGTGCCTAAGGCATTTGACTGCTAACCAGAAGGCTGGCCGTTCAAATCCACCAGCTACTTTTCAGAAGGAAAGTTGGGCAATCTACTTCTGTAGTGATACTGCCTCAGAAACCCAAGGAAGGGTAACTATGAGTCAGATCCAACTCCACAACAGTGAGTTTGGTTTTGGTTTTTGCAGCACATTTGCTCAAAGCCATACATTATTTGATTTCTTGACTGCTGCTTCCGTGAGTGTTGATTTTAGATTCAAATAAAATGAAATACATGACTTCAGTCTTTTCTCCATTTCGTGTTGTTGCTTATTGGCCCAGTTGTGAAGGGTTTTTTCTTTATGTTGAGGTGTAATCCATACTGAAGGCTGTAGTCTTTGACTTTTGTCAGTAAGTGATTTAAGTCATCTTCACTTTCAGCAAGTAAGGTTGTGTCATCTGCATATTACAAGTTGTTACATGTTCTTGATGCTGCATTCTTTTTCATATAGTCCAGTTTCTTGGATTATTTGCTCAGCATACAGATTAAGTATAGTGAAAGAATACAACCCTGATGCACAACTTTCCTGGTTCTAAACCATGAAGTATCCTCTTGTTTTGCTTGAATGACTTCCTCTTGATCTATGTACAGATTCCTCAAGAGCACAATTAAGTTTTCTGGAATTCCCATTCTTCACAGTTTTGTCCATACTTTCTGATGATCCACACAGCCATAGCTTAAATCTAATTGACATTTTAATTACCTTTTTTATACCTCATTTACGTCTTTTCAGCAATTACAGTATACCCAACAACTAGGAATTCTTGGTTGAATTTTCATTTCTGAATTGGAAATGTGTGTGTGTGTGTGTGTGTGTGTGCGTATCTGGCTAAAATGCATTTGGCTTAAGAGAAACTGATACAGTAAGGTAGATTTCAGTTCTACGTTGTAGTAGAATGGATGGGATGTATAATTATAATGGAGTAGGATGGATAATTATAATTTATAAATAGGTCCCTAACCCCTTATTAGTTATTTTATGAGAAATCTTAAGGTGTAGCAAAATTATTCTGGTTTGCATCTTAAAGCTTCATGTTTCCTCTTTAGAGGAGATGGTAATAAATAATGAAAGACAGGAGTAGAATAAGAATTGTAAAGCCTGAATAATGCACCAACTGAGCATTAAAAAATTGGCTGTGATTTTATGAATTACTACTGAGCATTGTTTAGATTTAACTTTTGTTCACTACTGATTGGATTACAGGTTGAGGTGAAATGCTTTATATCTCATTTATAAGCTCTTAACCATTCAATCATCTCATTGTGAACTTGTGAGATTCAGACATGATAAAACAATGAGAAAATAAAAATCAAGGTTAGAAAAAACTATGTATTTTAAGTCTGCAGTCTTCTAAAAGGGAGAAACTAGCAATTATAAGCTTAAAGAATCAATAGAAATTGATGTTTTATACCAAAGAAAACTTGAGACCTTGAGTCCTGCCCTCTGCTATACAAAGAAAAATCAGTAGGCCCAGAAACATAAGCTATTAAAAATTTACTTCCAGCAATTCTTTTTGATGCTCAAGGCATTGTTTAGTGTTCTGACTCAGAAAAGTATAAGAAATTATAATATTACTAATTTAAAAATCGCCTTTTTAATGTTCAGACCTTTTATAGTTTACATTTTGAAATGAGAATAAATAAATTTTAAAAGAACTCTTTACCTTTATAAGTTCCCTGGTTGGCACAGACAGTTTGTGCTAGATTATTAACATAAAGATTAGCGGTTCAAGTTCACCCAGTGTTAACACAGAAGAGAGCCTGGTGAATCTGTTTCTGTAAAGATCACAGCCGAGAAAACCCTGCGTAACAATTCTGCTCTGTAATACATGGGCTAACCATAAGTTGGAATCAACTTGATGGCAGTGGTTTGATTTTTCCTTTTATTTGTGCAGTTTCTAGCTGGCTAGCTAACTAAGAAGTTTTTAAAGTCCTTTCTATTAAAAAGATCTGCAGTTCTGTATTCTATGTTAAATAATTACTAACAGACTTTGTCAGACCACTTTTGACCAGTTTCTTATCTTTGGTAATCTCCTAACTCTTAACAGTTGGAGATGTAATCAGAAGGTTTTGAAATAAGAACTGAGTATGAGTACAAAGGAATTGTCAGAATCTGTGAAGACAGCAGTTAAGTAGAGGGGTTAGAAACTGCACATGAGAAACATAAATGTGAAGTTCACCTTAGAGTGTTAATACTGAATTAGTGAGATTTTATAGATCAAAAATTCATTAGAATTTTTCATTAAAATAAAATAAATAAATAAATAAAGTCATTACAACAGATACTCTCACAGGAACAAAGTGATTCCTGTGTCCTAGTGTATCAGTTTTCTACTTTTCCCCCAATGATATATGTATGGTCAACAACATTTACTTGACTGCAGACATCCAAGGCATTTTGTGCCATCCACTAACAATCTTGCAGGGGAGTACAACAAAATTTCTAAATGCCATGGCTATTAGTGGAGTATCATTTATTAATGGTTGTTAAGGGTAATAAAGGAGCTCTGGTAGCATAGTGGCTAAGACACTTGCCTGCTAACCGAATGGCTGGCGGTTCAAACCCACCAGCCACTCCTCGGAAGGAAGGTTGGGCAATCCTACTTCCGTAGTGATACTGCCTCGGAAACCCAAGGAGGGGTCGCTATGAGTCGGGGCCGACTCGACAGCACATAACAACAACAACAACAAAGGGTAATAAGTCAGCTGTCTGCTGTTTATAGTTGGCAAACTTGAATGAAAATGATACTATGGGGACAACATTGAGTCTTTTCTGATTCATTAAAAAAGCATTTATTTATAAACTTGTGTACTTTGTTATTAATAGCAAATTACTTAAGATGCTTACAATGTGATTGCTGTACACTGCTGTGTTAGGATACTGAGAACAGTGTTTTCTCAATTTTATTTTAATCCAATCACTCCGATGAATGATGTTCCACAGATTATCTCCCTTGATAGTGCTTGTATCACAGATATCTTTTATTCTGTAGAATGTCGATCACTGTATAGTGATTGGGAGGTGAAGAGGGAATGATAAACTATAACTGAATTAATCATAACTTATTTCATGCCATGAAACAAATTTTCCTTTACCTCTTTGCATTTCAACCACCTTCATTTAAAAACAGAAGCAAAACAAAAAATATTCTAAACCAAGAAAACAGCATTTACATGGGAAGACTAAGGAGCCAAGATGAGCAAACGAGAAAGGTTTTGACTTTAAATAATAGTGTTGAAATATTGTTTAAAGAGAAAACAGTAGAAATAATGGATTTATATAAGGACACTTATGGATTGAAACATGGCCCCTAAAACTTGTGTTGGAAGTCCTAACCTCTATAAAAATGATCCTGTTTGGAAATAGAGATTTTCTTTTTTATGTTAATGAGATGATACTAGAGTAGAGTGAGCCCTAAACCTAATCCCTTCTGAGTCATGTTCTATAAAAAGAGCAGAATAGACACAGACACACAGAGGGTAAGACAGATTGATCTACAAGACCAGGAAAGCCAAGGATTTCTGGCGGTTACTAGAAGCCGGAAGAGACAGTGAAGGGCCTTCCCTTAGAGTCCACACCCTGAATTGGACTGATAGAACAAATTTTGTTCTTTAAAGTCACCATTTTGTGGTATTTTTTGCTAAGGAAGCACTAGGTAACCAAGATTGACGTGATTCCTCTGTTCTGTTCCTGGAATTTCACTTCCTATCAGTGAAGTTGTTCTTCAGCTTAGCTTTATTATACTTGAGTCAGAAGTTTCTTAAAATCATAGAATTTTAAAACAAAACTTTAAAGATCATCTATATATCTCCCTCATTTTTACATTTCTAGCAGTTTATTCACTTTAACTCTGTCACTGTCTTGCTTATTTTTGGATCCTCAGTACGTGGCATAGAATTTAGAAGGTATATATAAATATTTGGTAAATTACATTAACCACAGCACAAGCAGAGCTCCTGCATTAATATTAGTAGGTGAAAATATCATTAATCTTAGGCAGTTAAATGTCACTAGTGACCTTCTCTCTCTCTCTTTAACCTTTTTTCTCTAACCAGATTTGCATCTGCTGGTGATGATGGAATTGTAGTTGTGTGGAATGCCCAGGTGTGTATTGATTCTCAGTGGATTGTTTAATGAAGACATGATTTGTATAGTTGAGTATTCATTTATAAACACTAATGACATTCATAAACACAGAAGATATGTCTGTATACTTGTATATTTGAGGCTAATTAATACTTGAAAAGGGCTATGTAGGTTGAATCCACTTATAACGGGGACTCATATTTCATAGTAAAGAGAGACATTTTTAAAGGTTTTGTTCTGAGAAACAAACAAACAAACAAGCCAAATTATGGAAATAAAAATTTTAATCGTATTGAACAGAATTTATGTCAGCAACCATGCTTATTCTTAAAATTAATTAACTTTGGTTTTACTGGGGGGCATCATGTTCTTTTTCAAAATTTTATGATATGATAAAACAATTTTTGACTTAAGTAACAAGGTAATAAAAGGCTTATGTTAGCGGAACTATTTAAAGCTTCACCAAGTTTATCAAGGGCCTCTCTTCCTGGTTCTTTGATATTGAAAGTCTCTCTGAAGCATGTCATTCCCTTTAGCCTTTATTTTGGATTGTGTTATCTGTCAATGACTCTGCTTAAAAGCAGTTTTTAGTATTGTTTTCATAAATCTTGCAACCTTTAAAATATTTGCAATTTACATTATAGTCTATTTTAGAATGTTTACTTCTTGGAATTGTTAGTGAGAAACTGATGGATTAAGACATTGAGTGAGTGGGAATAGTTGTTGGTGTAAGTAGAGAGAAATGGAGTAGAGAATTATTTTATGAGTGGTTTGTGTATTAGTGAATATATATATTTTTTGTTATATTGACTTTTATTTCCTTCTACTACCTCATAATTGAGATGACTTAGATAATGAATATTTAGAGAACAATGACTCCCTTCTTTTTCCTTACAGGTTAAGTTACTGATGTTTCTTGCTTAATTTACATAATTACATTCCTAAAACCATATGTAAAGAATATTTATTTAATTTTCTATAAAACTGTTCTAAAAAGGTAGCATTTTATTGTAGAAAATAATTAAAGTTTTATGTGGCTGTTATTTTAACAGTTGATTAGATTTTATTTGATTACTTAGAATTAAATTACAAGTCACGACTAAGGAATTTTAAATGAAATGGATATGTATCTTCTACACTGTGATGCTTAATGTTATCATTTAAGATTATTTAAGTCATGAATATGGCCCATTAACATTTTTATTGGTATTTTAGACTGGAGAAAAACTTCTGGAACTCAGTGGACACACTCAAAAGATAACTGCTATTATTCCATTTCCTTCCTTGGAATCTTGTGAAGAAAAAAATCAACTGATCTTGACAGCCTCTGCTGATAGAACAGTTATTATATCCTTAAATCTGGAAGAACAGGAAATATCTATAGTAACCCAAGGGGCCACTACATGCATTATTATTCTTTAGGTTCTTGGGGCCTGTCTATGCATACATCCCTGTGCTAGTAAAAGTGGTTTTGTTCTAGCCTTTGTGAGACATGTTTTTCAAAAGGATTAGACATCTGGGGAAGGATAGAATAGAAATAGTAGGTTAAGTCTTATTGATAGGAACCTCATGAGTAATGTAATTTTTCCCCAGTTACTATTACATCAAGTTGTATAAACTGTAATAAATGGGAGAAGGTGAGCTTAAAAATACTTACTTTATTATCTCAAAATGCTTTTTTATTTCAGGGAAACAGAGATGAGTTGGACTGAAGAATAATTTATACATATTTTTTCTCACTGTAGAGCAGAAGAAATGTAGTAGTCCCAGTCCATAAGAACTTCAGCATCCAGTTCTGGTAGAAAAGGGAATACCCTTTCAGTATTTAATATTTGTACTCAGTATTAAAAAGCAATAATTAAAAAAAGAATTGCTTTTCCTTCTCCCTTACTTTTAGTTAAACAATTAAAATGTAACAATATCAAAGATTTATAAAGTGCTGTGTATAGCAGGCATTGTTCTAAGTGTTTTTATAAAGCAGATTTGTTTTATGTTCAACACATATTTTGTTGTGTGACACTAATTACTATCCTTACAGTGTAACAGCTCTCCTCCCTGTGGTTACCCCTTCTCTGCGTCCTTCTTACCTATATATTCCTGCCTGCCTAGCTTTCTCCTTGCGCAAATGCTGCCCATCTGATTTCCCATGCTGGACTGTTCTAAGGAGTGCATTATCCGGGCGTAGTTGTTTAGCTCGTAGGCCTGTCTGTTCTTTGGCTGAGAGTTGAACCATGGGACTGAGTCCAGTTCCAGGCCTGAAGGGTGACTCAGCAATAGTGTCAGGGGTTTCACCAGTCTCTATCCAACCAATAATCCTGGTTCTTTTTATGTTTTTGAAATTGTTCCACATTTTTTCTCCCACTCTAACAGGATCTCTAATTTTGATCCCTTTTCAGGTGGTTGGCATTGGGTAGCTGGGCACCGTCTAGTTTCTCTGGTCTCTGGACCTGAGGTTCTTGTGGTCTATTAGTTCCTTGGACTAATTGTTTTCCTATGTCTTTGATTTCCTTCACTCTTCTTTTCTATGGCTGAGAAGAGACCAATAATTGCATCTCAGATGGCTGCTCACAAGCTTCTAAGACCCTAGTTGCTACTAACCAAAGTAGGATGTAGAGCAGTGTTTTTGGGTGTATGTTGTGCCAGTTGAGTGTGATGTCCTCTTGGACCGTGTTCCCAAGCCCACAGGCCCAATGACTCATTCCCTCAAGGTGCTTGGTAGTAGTTAAGAAGTTATCTTAACTTTGTCCCCTATTAGCTCTAAGATGTATATGGACATTTTTATAGCACTTATATAGTTAGGAATATTGTTTGCCAGAAACCTCTGTATCATCATTCCTGTTTGCCTACTTGTACCTGATCTTCTTGCCTGTCTACCTATGTATCTACCTGCAGATTAGTGTTTGTTATCACTGATAATACAGTATTTTGTATGTAATAATAACATTTACCTTTGTTGTCTGCACTCTTGTGCTCCTCTCCATGTCATCCTTTTCCTTACTGATACTGTGTTGGTCATACACTTGTTATATTGCCATTCCCTTCACCCATATCAACACATGTCTCTTAACTAGTCAGCAATTTTCCTTTCTCTTCCTTCCTATCCCTAGTAACCAACAAAGAAAATTTCCTTCTCTGTGTAGACCTTTCCTTGACTTCTTTAATGACAGACTCATACAATATTTGCCCTTCTGTGATTGACTTATTTTACTAAGCATAATGTCCTCCAAGTTCATCCACATTATGAGGTGATTCACAGATTCTTTATTTCTCTTTAATGTTGCTTAGTATTCCACCATGTGTATGTACCATTGTTTGGTTGTCCATTCTTCTGTTGATGGGCATTTATGTTGTTTCCATCTCTTTGGTATTGTAAATAGTGCTGTGATGAATATGCTGTACATATATATATCTGTGTCTCAGATCTCACCTTTTTGCGATATGTTCCTAGTAATGGGATTGCTCTATCAAATGGTATTTCTGTTTCCAGCTTTTTAAGGAAGTGCTATACAGTTTTTCACAATGGTTGTACCATTTATAGTCCTACCAGCAGTGTATAAGAGTTCTGGTCTCTCCACATACTCACCAGCATTTATTGTTTTTCTGTATTGTTGAACTTCGCTGTTATTGCTGTGGTGAGATGATATCTCATTGTTATTTTGATTTGTATTTTGTATTTTGATTTGTTATTTTGGTTAATGATCATGAGCATTTCTTCATGTGTTTGTTGGCTTCCTGAATATCTTCTTTGGTGAAATGTCTGATTGTGTCCTTTGCCCATTTTTGAATTGAATTGTGGTAGTTCAGTTTGTGTGTCAACTTGGCTGGGCTTGGTTGAATGGCTGGGCGGCTGGATATAGTATTCCCAATGATGAGACTGGTAATCAACTCCATGGTAGAATCTACTGTGAGCAGCTGAGTAGCTGCCTTAGGGATGTGGTCTGC